AGCCTAGGCATGTCTAAGAATGAGATCAGCCTAGGCATGTCTACTAAGAATGAGATCAGCCTAGGCATATCTACTAAGAATGAGATCAGCCTAGGCATGTCTACTAAGAATGAGATCAGCCTAGGCATGTCTACTAAGAATGAAATCAGTCTAGGCATGTCTACTAAGAATGAGATCAGCCTAGGCACGTCTACTAAGAATGAAATCAGCCTAGGCATGTCTACTAAGAATGAGATCAGCATAGGCATGTCTCAGAATGAGATCAGCATAGGCAAGTCTACTAAGAATGAGATCAGCATAGGCAAGTCTACTAAGAATGAGATCAGCCTAGGCATGTCTAAGAATGAGATCAGCATAGGTATGTCTACTAAGAATGAGATCAACCTAGGCATGTCTACTAAGAATGAGATCAGCCTAGGCATGTCTACTAAGAATGAGATCAGCCTAGGCATGTCTACTAAAAATGAGATCAGCCTAGGCATGTCTAAGAATGAGATCAGCATAGGTATGTCTACTCAGATTAAAATCAGCCTAGGCATGTCTAAGAATGAGATCAGCATAGGTATGTCTACTAAGAATGAGATCAGCCTAGGCATGTCTACTAAGAATGAGATCAGCCTAGGCATGTCTACTAAGAAAGAAATCAGCCTAGGCATGTCTACTAAGAATGAGATCAGCCTAGGCATGTCTACTAAGAATGAGATCAGACTAGGCATGTCTACTAAGAATGAAATCAGCCTAGGCATGTCTACTAAGAATAAGATCAGCCTAGGCATGTCTACTAAGAATGAGATCAGCATAGGCATGTCTAAGAATGAGATCAGCCTAGGCATGTCTACTAAGAATGAGATCAGCATAGGCATGTCTACTAAGAATGAGATCAGCATAGGCATGTCTACTAAGAATGAGATCAGCCTAGGCATGTCTACTAAGAATGAGATCAGCCTAGGCATGTCTACTAAGAATGAGATCAGCATAGGCATGTCTAAGAATGAGATCAGCCTAGGCATGTCTACTAAGAATGAGATCAGACTAGGCATGTCTACTAAGAATGAAATCAGCCTAGGCATGTCTACTAAGAATGAGATCAGCCTAGGCATGTCTACTAAGAATGAGATCAGCATAGGCATGTCTAAGAATGAGATCAGCCTAGGCATGTCTACTAAGAATGAGATCAGCATAGGCATGGCTACTCAGAATGAGATCAGCCTAGGCATGTCTACTCAGAATGAAATCAGCCTAGGCATGTCTACTAAGAAAGAGATCAGCCTAGGCTTGTCTACTAAGAATAAGATCAGTTGTGAGCGTTGGTTGTTGGGTGATTGTCGTTCGCCACACAAACCTAAACCACCATCCTCAACACCGTGAGGTGCCTAGACAAACGCCAGAATGCTGTGTTCTCCGTGTTGTGACTTTGAAATGGATTGCGAACCTCCAACAAAGAAAATCATGATCTTTAAGTTTAACTGGTGACCAACTAGATGGGATTGAGGGATTGAAGGACTCAAAAAAATGCAAATCAAAGTTAAAC